TGTACACTGTCCACTGTCAACTGTCTACTGTCTGGAGTCTTTTGTCGACTGTCCACTGTCTACTTTTAACTATCATCTGTCCTCTGTCCACTCTCCGCTGTCCATTGTTCATTGTCCCCAGTCCATGTCCACTGTCAACTATCCATTGTCCACTGTCCCTGACTTCTGTTTGTTGTGTACTGTCTGATTGTTAACTGTTAATTAAGTTTAAGTTTTTTAGTCAAAGCTCAAGAATGTTTAATTTTACAAAAGATAGATTTTTCTCTCAATTGAATATCTAGCAGAGTGATTCTGACAAAAAAGCAAATTCTTCAAATCAGTAAACTTCTAAAATTTTATTGAAATTGTAGGCTTTAAATTGACGAACTAATATATACCTGTTTTTAGTTTTCCTTTAGTTGAATCCTAAGTTTGGATAAATTTGTGTGCCTCCGAACCATCTTTGCATTTTTACGCTCTCTCTCAACCCTCTCTTCTAATACGCAATAGTTATGTCATTCTACGTCTGGAAAAATTAAATAAAAAATCAATCTAAAATAAGAATCTTTATTAAACGAAATGAATATCTTTGGATCGAATTTCGAAATATTTTTCTTCAGTTTTTAAGACGATTTTTACCTAATATCTTTTCCGATCCAAAATTACAACATAGTAATCACCAATTTCTAGACGTCATCAAATACTGAGAACGTTTTTATATCCTGATGTATACTCAAATCAGGCTTAATTAAATCTTCAAAAACAAGGATGAATAAAAAATATAAAGTATTCTGAGACCGAATTTAATGACTTTGAACTGCCTATCGCTGATTCAAATTTGAATCACCGAATCAAATCTTACCTTAATCTTTAACCTTGAATTGTGGTTCAAATTAGATTTAGCTCAAAATCGTTAAATCCGGTCTCTGAGACATAAATAAATGCTCAAAAATTGTCTAAAATATTTTCCAGATAGTTTAGCAAGAAAATTAAAAAAGAAATAAATTCTTTTAATGCTTTATAAGTAATAAAAATCCTATTATCCTATTAATGTTAGAATACAAGACAGTAAAGAACTAGAAAGTATTAATGTTATTGTATACAAGACAGTAAAGAACTAGAAAGTATTAATGTTATTGTATACAAGACAGTAAAGAACTAGAAAGTATTAATGTTATTGTATACAAGACAGTAAAGAACTAGAAAGTATTAATGTTATTGTATACAAGACAGTAAAGAACTAGAAAGTATTAATGTTATTGTATACAAGACAGTAAAGAACTAGAAAGTATTAATGTTATTGTATACAAGACAGTAAAGAACTAGAAAGTATTAATGTTATTGTATACAAGACAGTAAAGAACTAGAAAGTATTAATGTTATTGTATACAAGACAGTAAAGAACTAGAAAGTATTAATGTTATTGTATACAAGACAGTAAAGAACTAGAAAGTATTAATGTTATTGTATATANTAGTGTATAGTCTCTAAAGATATATTCTCTCTAGTGTATAGGTTCTAGAGATATATTCTCTCTAGTGTATAGGTTTTAGAGATATACTCGCTCTAGTATATAGGTTCTAGAGAAATATTCTCTCTAGTGTATAGGCTCTAGAGATATATTCTCTCTAGTTTATAGGTCTAGAGATATATTCTCTGTAATGTACAGGTTCTAGAGATATATTCTCTCTAGTGTATAGGTTCTGAGATATGTTCTCTCTAGTGTATAGGTTCTAGTGTTAAGGTTCTAGAGATATGTTCTCTTTAGAGTATAAGTTCTAATGTATAGGTTCTAGAGATATGTTCTCTCTAGAGTATAAGTTCTAATGTATAGGTTCTAGAGATATATTCTCTCTACTTTTAAGGTTCTAGAGAGATATTCTCATTGGTGTATAGGTTTTAGAGATAAATTCCCTCTAGTGTATAGGTTCTAGAGATATATTCTCTCTAATGTATAGGTTCTAGAGATATATTCTCTCTAGTGTATAGGTTCTAGAGATATATTCTCTCTAGTGTATAGGTTCTAGAGATATATTCTGTCTAGTGTATAGGTTCTAGAGATATATTCTCTCTAGAGTATAAGTTCTAGTATACAGGTTCTAGAGATATGTTCTCTCTAGAGTATAAGTTCTAATGTATAGGTTCTAGAGATATGTTCTCTCTAGTGTATAGGTCTTAGATACGTATTCTTTTTAACAAAAAGGTTCTGCAGATATGAAACTTATTTAAAGTTTTACTCAAGGTATTCACAGGATATCCTTGAATTACGTTTATATGTAAGCTTATGATTACACATAGGTGTTTGTTGTTATTCACGAACCAAAGCATATCATGACTAAAAGAATGATTCAAACACAATGGTTCAGACTCAAACATATATTTGAAGGAAACCATTGTTTTCCTAAATAAATTGCAAGTTTATTTCTTGTATGAGGCCAGTACCTAGTGTTAACGATTCATAAACTGAACTTATCTTATCTGAGGATTGATGTGCAGCTATTAATTTAGCAGTATAATAGCTGTTAAAGACATACCTGTATAGTGACTAATGGATCCAGTTTCAGTACTTGAAACCTCTCAGTTAAATATAGAGATTAAAGATAGGAACGTGGATGAGAAATGCTCCAGGCCAACTTAGACTTTTAATCCAAATACAGAGATGATTAGAAAATTGTTTGATAAAGAGCACATGGAGTAGAATTGAAATCAATAGAGATGAGAAATAGTATAGGTTAGAGAGCAAAAGTAATAGGATTGAGATAAAATGGAATAGGTTTGAGAGAAATAGAGTGGGATGGATAGAAGATCGAGTAGGATACAATTGAAATGACTAGAATGGAGATAAGTTGGAGTAGGATGAGGACGAGATAGAGTAGGGGTTCAGAGGATATTTAGCAGGACTGAAAAGGGAGAGGAGGAGGAGGAGGAATGACAGAACATAGCATAGGATTGATAGAAGGTGAAGTAGGATGGTAAGAACGAAGAGGAAGTGAAGGATTGATAGGAGGTGAGGTAGGATGGTAAGAACGAAGAGGAGGTGAAGGATTGATAGGTGAAGTAGGATGCTAAGAACGAAGAGGAGGTGAAGGATTGATAGTAGGTGAGGTAGGATGGTTAGAACGAAGAGGAGGTGAAGGATTGATAGGAGGTGAAGTAGGATGGTAAGAACGAAGAGGAGGTGAAGGTTGAATGAGTAGATGTGATATAGAAGAGGGAAGCGTGTAAAGAATATGAAAGATGAAGTAGGGTTGAGATGAGATATTTCTTGAAAGGGTTCAAGTAAGATTTAATCCCCTAATAGTCCAAAAAAACATTTTAGCCCTTTAATAATCGGATTAACATTGAGGAAGATACTGTTGTTTTTTTTGTCTTGAAAAGATATAATTTCTCAATCATTTTTGCTCATATTGAGGACTAACAAGTACTGGTGTGATAGAGATCGGAACGTTTGTGTGGATATTGTTAATCTTTAACACATAATCTCAATATCCAATGCGGACACTTATAAATTTGAGAATCATTGATTTAATCCCTCTATTAAAGGTATCCCTGCAGGATGTGACCATTTCGGGATATCAAAGAGGAATCTGCTATGTTTCCCCGAGATTCAGGATGCAACTTTTCAGTGTAGTTCCGGCTTGGTTAGAGTGGTGGAATTTAAAAGAAAAATATTCGCTTAAAAACCAAGTGGAAAAAGCAAAGAAGTGGTTTTCAATATCAATAAATATATAACTACAGCGGCAAAACAAATATATATTTAATATCCAGGAATATTTCAGCTTCCTTTTTCATGCACACGGCGAGGATCTCTCCTGTCTGCGTGTTTGTGTGTTAAATGTTATGGTGTTTGTATGTTTATGTTCGGCTAGAAGAAGAAAGTTGAATAAAATTTCTGACAAGAATTGAATATGTCGAGATAAGATGAAGCTGAGAGAGAGAGAGAGGATGATGTTAAATCTTCCATCGTAACAATAAATACAGGTCCGTCCTAAAAAATCGTCCAAAAATCGTTCTCTAGAAAATTACCATAAATTCTATACAACACTACACAGCCAAATATTTATCAATACAGGTTTATTATGTCAATAAAATCATGGTTTATTCTCCAAAACCTACCCCAGACGCTCATATTTTCATAAAACTACGAAAATAAAACCTTTAATTGTTTTCTTGTAAAACTTGGTTTAAAATCTCTGTTAAAAAATACCTAAACTTTAAACCTAAAAAAAATGTTAATGGAAAAAACAAGTTCGCAGTCTCCTAGTCGTTTTCACCAGTTCTGTTGAGGTTTAGACAAATATTTGAAAATTTTTAACAATCTGCCCTTTTCTGTTTTCAGAAGAAAATTAGAGTTGACGCCATTACACACAGATTCAATTTTAGAATAATGGGTTGATGATTTCGAGCATAAGGATTTTAGAAAAATTACAGTTTTTATCAAAGAGACACATTCAAATGGACATAAAGTCTGAATCAACTTGACTTTTCCGTCATAACCCTTTTAAACCGGAGAGGGATTTAAATGTGAATCAGTTGTACCCTGTACAAAAAGGGTTAAAGATTATCTTGTACCTAATCTGTACAGCGTAGATTCTATACTGTCTGTTTGTGTATATTCTGTATAAGGAGGGATAAGGATGATGTCATATATCTCCGAATATGTCTCAAAGGATATCTAAAGCTTACTGCCTATACAGGAGTAAGATTATATGAGAAACCCCTTGATAAAGAAGATTAAACTCAAAGACTTCACTGACTCTTCAGGTTCCTCTTTCACTTTTTAGGTTTGCAGGACGCATAAATGCAGTAGTGAATAGTTATGAGGAGAGAGAGAGAGGGTTGATGATTCACCTCTAGATACTAGATACAGCACAGCTGAACCTAAACTGGCCTGAACACACACATTCCGTCCCACAGGTGCTTCTATACCTCATCTTAATAATAATAATAATAATAATTTTTGATTCTTCAGAATTGTTCTGCTTCTGCAGAACCAGAAGGATTGCAGAGCAATTATTCTACAAGTGTCATATTTAATTACTTAATTATGTGTTAACAAATAAATTTGTTAATTAACATATTGTTATTTAGACGGTAACCCTGGGGTCGTCCTCAAGAAGCATCTTTAGGAAGTCCTGTCTGGTTCTTCACAAGTCGCCGTGAAGACAGGGCATACACAGGTTTCCCTTTAAAAAATATTTTTTGGGAGGGGGCAATTTCCAAGTGCCCTACCCCCTCCAAAGAATTTTATTTTTTTGGGGGGGGGGACCCTAGCAGCTTCTTGTTAAGAACCAGTCAGGACTTCCTAAAAATGCTTCTTGAGAACGCCCTCAGAACGACCTACTTCCTTGGCCGTCTCTGGTTCTGGCTGGGACATGTATATATTTTATACATTAATATTCAAATTCCTGCCAGAGCAAAAAAAGATCCCAAATATATTGTTCCGGCTCAGAAGTTGGTTTTAACAAAATTGTCACAGATTAAATCAAGCTAAGGAATGAAAACAATATGGAGCCCCGTCGTCTTCTAATTCTTCTGGAAAAGAGCAACCACCCGAGATTAGACTGTCCAAGGTTGCTCTTTTACGCACATTACATTTAAAAATAAATAAAAAGAATATATATTATTTCAAGTTGAGGTACTTTCATGAATCAAACTTTGTTAAGTACAATAAAATTTCGTAAAGTACAATCAAACTTTAAAAAGTACAATCAAAATTTGTAAAGTACAATAAAAATTTGTAAAGAACAATAAATAAATAATAAATAAATAAATAAGTACAATCAAATTCAGACAATTGTCGTTTTGGATAGCAATTTTTGAACAAAAAAAATCAAACATGAACTGCAGTAACATTTGTAAAATGAAATTTAGCTTAGTTAACTGCAATAAAATTTGTAAAATGCAATTGAACTTAGTTAAAATTCCTGATTTGATTTGATTTGAAAAAGGAAATCGAATTTAGAAAACTGCAAAAAAATATATAAAATGAAACCAAATTTAGTAAACTCCAATAACATTTTTAAATGAAACCAAATTTAATAAACTGCAACAAAATATATAAAATGAAGCGAACTTTAGTAAACTACAATAACATTTTTTAAATGAAACCAAATTTACTAAACTGCAATAACATTTTTAAATGAAACCAAATTTAGAAAACTGCAATAAAATATATAAAATGAAACGAACTTTAGTAAACTGCAATCAAATTTTTTAAATGAAACCAAATTTAGTAAACTGCAATAACATTTTTTAAATGATACCAAATTTAGTAAACTGCAATAAAATTTGTAAAATGCAATCAAAGGAATTGAGTCTTTGTCACAAACTCTGATTTTCTAATATCTATATCTTTGCAACCCAACTTCGTAGACTTTTGATACTTCAAACTGTGAATTCTATTAGATCAAATAGTCTAAGTTTGAAATATCAAGGGTTTCCAGTATCAGGTTGCCAAGATATAAGGATTAGAAAATTTGAGTTTGTGGAAAAACTCAATTTCTTTAGTAAACTGCAATAAAATTTGTAAAATGATATCAAACTTAGTAAAAAGTAATATAATTTGTACTTTGTAAATTGCAATAAAATTCGTAAAATTTAATCTAATTTTGTAAATAGTAATAAAATGTAATAGAGAAATGCAAATACAAATTGTTTTTTGGAAGAAAATCATTTAAATGGCAAAATCTTCCAGTTGAAGATTGTAGAACTGTAGAACTCAAATAGAAATTGACATTTCTATTATTCTGAACCGTGAAATGATCCTCTCAGCTAAATATTTTAAATACTAACATTAATATTCATGGAGTTATTCTATGATGACAATCCTTCGTCTAGCTCAAGCTTCGATTCTGCAGTAGACCCAGATCAGGGTAGAGATGGTAGGATTGGTTAATCAAATATCAATTTATTTCATCCTTCACGTATCCTATGCCTAGATACACTAGGATCCTTTGCAATACGTTTGGAGTTCGCAATTTATTCATCAATTTATCGATAGAGTAAAGGAATTGAGTCTTTGCCACAAAATCAAATTTTATAATCCCTGTATCTTTGCAATCGGATGGTGGAAACATTTAATATTTCGAACTAAGGGTATTTGATTTAACAGGACTCATAGATTGAAATATTAATTATCTATACTCTAGTATGCCGAGTCCATTAGCACCTGATCCAATCAGGGTTCAGCCATGTGTTTGGTGTCTATTCTGAACCAATAGAAATTGCATGGCGGTAACATCTATCTTTCTATCTAGCTCATTATCCAATCAAAGATAAATCCTTATATCGGCGTTAAAACAGTAAATGGAAATATTTACTTTTACTAAAACTATAGATATATATCTAAGGTCTAAGCCATTGGTTTTCAAAGATATGGGGATTAGAAAATCAGAGTTTTGGGATAAAACTCAATTCCTATATACATATATTTAAAGGAGTATGTACATAGGAGGTCAGAATTTTAATATTGTTAAGTACCATTGATGGAAATATTTTAATATGTATCTATGGTTGTTCGGCAGATTTTACAAACAATTGGAAGCCACACTAAACCTGCTCTCGGTCGATAATAAAGCGCGAAAATATTTTTTGATAAGAAACGTTCTGTGTTGCAAGATAATCTTTTTCTGACCGTGATCCTTTCCCAGGTCTAGGGAATTCTCTATTATAAACAAAACTGTCACTGGAAAGAATTTTTGAACATCGTTATTTGTGAAAGAAATCTGGTGACACTATAGATGAATTTGGTCATTTTGTGTCAAAATCAGGATAAGCTGGGGTAGGAGGGGGAAATGGGTTACCAAATTTGGAATTTTTAGATATTTGGATAATTAAAAAAATCTATATTGAAAGTAAAAATTAAAGGTGCCTTCTCTCTCTATTTGCGCCCCTTATTTTTCCAGGATGGGACGTTCCCCCAATTTTTCAGGGGGAACGTCCCCCCCCTTCCCTCTTTCAAGCCATCTTTGACTAGAGAATTCGAAACTTTTTTAGATTAAAAAGATGAATTGTTGAAGGAATTTCAAGCTTGAGAAAAAGGGCGCGGTAATGTCAGCATTTTATTGGAATAAAAAGCAGGACAAAATACATATTTCAGATAAAATAAGTCAGATCATTAAAAAAGGTTTGGTTCAGCTCTGAAAACAGTTAGGATTGGTGGTAGCTCTACTAGCAGCCTATAATGGGGGAATTGGTTGAAGTCAGCTCTATGTTTAGCTCTGGTTGTAGGCTGTAGCCAGAATTGGTGGGTTTATCTTTGCTAACAGCCTTTAATTGGTGATTTAAGTTCTGCTAGTGGCCAAAGTGGTGGGATTTATCTTTGCTAACAGTCTAGGTTTTTTTACAGCTCGCCTATAAGTCAGCATTGATGGAAGTCTGCTATGTTAACAGCCTAAGTTGGTTTGTTTCCAGCTCTGCTAGCAGCCAGGATTGGTTAAAGTCAGCTCTGCTAGCAGCCATGGGTTGTGGTGTTAGGTTTGTTGAAAGCCAGGATTGGCGAGGTTAGCTCTTTCAGCAGCCATGGGTTGGTGGTGATAGCTCTGCTAAAAGCCAGGTTTGGTCAGATTAGCTCTTTTAGCATGCACAGTTTTGTTTAGCTCAACCTTGCCAGGTGTTGTTGGGGTTATAGCTCTTCTAGTAACCAGGATTAGTGGGAATACCTCTGCTACTGGTTATTTTATATTTATCTTTATCTAGGGATATCACGTGATATGGAATATAGCAATCAGTGCAGTCTCACTAAATGTTTTTTTAACGAAGGGAAATTCTCTTAACATCCAGGATTGGTTGGGTTGAGAGCACAAAGATCTTTTTGTCCTTTAATCGGATAATCTACTCCACCAACTCCTACAATATTTAATTATTGGTTAATATTTCAAAATTTATGGTTTGACAGATTTGTCTCATTTTCCTGAAGAATGGAACTTTTGAGATATCTTCCTTCGTTGGAGTAATGTAAAAATGTTGTCAAAACAAGATTAACCTGGGATATTATCATTATCTGCGTCTTCGATATCCCACATCCCGTTCTTCCAGATCGACCAGCCCGGAGCTGCAGACATACACACACTAACACAAACGAACACAAACAGTAACTAAATAAAAAAGGATTTAGTTTTTTTCTGTGACGACGACATAAATCTTTTTTTTAACCTGGATCAATTGAAAAACAGATGAAAAAAATAAAGATAAAAATTAAATATTTCAAACGATTTTGTATTTTTTTTCTCTTCGCGCCATTTTTTATCGTTATCAAACTTTAACGGATTATTGTGCTTAAGTTGGAACATTTCAAAATGTAATAAATGTCGACATTTTTCATATTTTGAAACATCCTGAGGTCATGTAAGTTGACATTTAATAGTTTGGCTCGATCGGTTCATCCGTTTTGATGTTTATTGGACACAGACAGACAAACAAACAGTCAAGCCAAATATATTTGAAGATCATGGTTTCGATTGGAAGAATAACAAAGACAAACAAGAAAAAGAAAGAATTTGAGACAATTGAAATTAAAATCTAAAAATGATCAGTGTGAATAATTTTTTCTTGTTTTACAGAGATTAAATTTTCACTTTTAAAATGTGCTACATTTCGAATATTATGTGAAACAATCGTATTTTAATCATGTCTTATTACACATTGTTTCTTTGTTCTTGCCTAATTTCAGAAAACTTGGTAAAACTAGAGTCTAAATACAATACATCCAACAGAAATTTTCTGTTCATGGGTACTTGAACTAAAATAAGAATTTTTTAATAAAAGCATTTGTTATCTTATCTTATTACTAAAATGAAAACCAAAGCATCCTGAAAAATAAAACAGGATCTTTCGTCAAGAAGTGTAATAAATGTTACAAATAAGATGAAATTATAAGGAAACAAAACAAATCTTTATTCCACTGTTTTATATATGTAGTACAAACATTAAACAAACACAGTGAATACGAAGATGACATATTATGTGTATTTGATGTTGTTTAGGTGTAGATTAAAAACCAACTTACTAAGTGAAATGTGTCTCAGTACACTGCACAATTGCTGTATTTCCTTGTTATTAGGATTGGATTGGAATATATAAAAATGGCTGATCTACATCTTGTCATCTGTATAATCTATGTTTCCCTGTATCTTTTAGTTAAAAGCTAAATAATTTCAAGGTGTGGTGTGTAATGTACTATGATACTCACGATAGCAATGATTCTCATCTTTCCTCTGCTTTAAACCCACTGAGCATGTATCTGTAAACCCTGATCTCTTATATACCAATCCCTGATCCTTTGTATCTTCCATCCTGCCCGTTTAACTAAATATATTAGAATAATCTCTGAAAATCAGATTTACCCAAGAAATATCTATAACGGGAAGCTTCAAAGATTTACTGCAATTTTTTAAATTTCTTGGTGACAACCTCAGTACATGAGTACTAATGTTTATATTCCTTTAGATAATTCATTACATTTGTTAAAAATTTAAATTGTACAGGGTTAACCACAAAGTATTAGACGTCAATGACGACCAAATAATCCATGAGCATTAAGATCTACAGGCTAAATCTTGTTGAATGCCTTCAATTGAGTCTATTAATGGTATATCAAATGGTTTGGCGAAGGAAGAGACAAATTTACATATGCAGGGAAGTATGAAAAAACATGATATACAAATTAATTCTGTATTACTGTCACTGAAGTCTCATTCTTTGTAGTTAACTCTGTACATAATTGATCGTAGGCTCGTAGCATAAACTCTAAGAAATTTAAGACTACTTTTACTAAGTTGAATTTGGATCCAACAAATTTTGTGAGAATTGAAATTTCTTAGAGTGTGTAATCGTATAATCCATTCATTTGATCATTTCTAACAAAAATACATCAATCCTTACACTCAAAGATATCCCTGATCGGATCGAGGACCAAAATTACATCGTGTTTTGGCCAGAAAGAGCCATTTTCTTGTAAGTTACACTTTTTTTTCTTATGAGCTGCGGCTACTTTCCCTGCTTCATTTAATTCCAAAACATGATCAGCAGAGCTGCCGTACCTTCCTCTTTTTATTTGTAAGTTATGTGATTACATTAAAAAATATTGTCAGCAAAGCTGCCCTCCATCCCTCTTTTTATTTGTAAGTTATGTGATTACATTAAAAAATATTGTCAGCAAAGCTGCCCTCCATCCCTCTTTTTATTTGTAAGTTATGTGATTACACTCAAAAATATAGTCAGCAAAGCTACCCTCCATCCCTCTTTTTATTTGTAAATTGTGAAAATATATTTGTGGCTGCTTCCCCTTCCTCATTTATTTCCGAGACACTGTCAGCGTAGCTCGCCTCCCTCCCTCTTTTATTTGTAAGTTGTGTAAATATATGCGCGTGCCTCACATAAACATTATATATTTGACGTTAGGTGCGCATTGTATACTCTATGTATATTGTATATCGTATAATGTTGTATGTTGGTGCTTGGTTTACAGTTTACAGGGTTTATCAGTTGACAGTGTCACATCTCGACCCCCCCCCTCTTGCATATGCCGTTCTTTATATACCCCCTCCATCGATCCTGTTGGTCTCTGTCCCCCAATATCATACATCTATTTACCCACAAAGGAATGGAACTTTAATAACGACATAAAACATCTTAAGTTCCTTATGGTATAACGGTTTCAACTGAAAATGCTGCCTCATATAAATTGTCTCCAATCAAAGAGAATAGAATATATATTAGAGTGGAATTAACTAGAAAAAAGCGTAAAACGGCCATTTTGTTGTACTGTTTCCAAACTGCAGGTGTACTTCACATATTTGCGCTATATAACCTTTTGGGCCTTGGAACATCATTTTAAAGAAAATCTAAAATTAATATTAAAAGAAAACCAAATTATGAAATAGGCTGGTTTCATAATTGAACAATGATCATTTAACATAGACTCTATGCCTTTCACTTTACAAACGATGATTTTCCGTTATAACTATAAATCAAATGATGTTTTTTATTCACCTTATTTTTTTAAAAGTTTATTTAACAGCTTTAAAAAATTTGAAATTGAAATTTTTCAACTGCAGGAAATAATGAATTTTAGAAAAAAAGACTCAATAACTGTTGTACAGTTGTCTCTGAAGTCTCATTGTCTTATCATTTGTGAGTTACCCTGACCCTGTATATAAAATGATTTATGAGGGTGTTTTGCATTATGTATGTGGTATGTATATTCTTTAAATGTAAACAGTACACCATTACCCAAGATTTTGATAGAGGTTTAGTGTACTGAGTGCAGCAGGCAAGCTGGGCAAAACTGAATAATCTTAGAAAACTGGGGTTGTTCTGGGTTGTTTTTGTATGTATTCTTAAAAACAAGTTACATTTCCAGTGCTTCCTTTGTTTACATTTTAGAGAGAAATTATCTATCCGTCTCTCATATCATATAGTAGTATTCGTATTGATGTGTACAATTCAAACAGGGATCTGGTTTTTATTACAGTCAGACTAAATCAGACTAAATCTTTTCAGTTTTATCTGATTAAATCTTAAACCAATAGATTAATTAAAATAACAGATAGGACGCTAGACGTAATCTTTTCAAGATTTCTGTGTGTTTCGTTCACATTTCTTACAATAACCCTGAGGCAGAGGCCCAAAGTAGTTACACGTAGTCGGCGTAGAACAGTCTCTCTATACAATAAGAATCAACATTCATATCAAAATCATTTATTTTTGTCTGACTATGCAGGGTTAATCGCAAAGGATGAGAGTTTAATGACGACATGAAACGATTCAAATACATGGAGTGTAAATAATTTCTTACAAAGAAAAACAAGTTTACAGTTAGCTGCAAGGAATCTTTCATGTAAATGAAAAGACTTAATTGGTCCTTATCTTTCTGCTTTTATCCTCAGACTATTCCTGCTTTCCTCCCCAGAACGTTCCTGTTTATCTCCAGAACTTCTTGCATTCTCATCTCCAGAACCTTCCTGTTCTCATCTCCAGAACCTTCCTGTTCTCATCTTTATAACCTTTCTGTTCTCATCTCCAGAACCTTCCTGTTCTCTCCTCCAGAACCTTCCTGTTCTCATCTCCAGAACCTTCCTGTTCTTATCTCCAGAACCTCCCTGTTCTCATCTCCAGAACACTCCTGTTCTCATCTCCAGAACCTTCCTGTTCTCATCTCCAGAATCTTCCTGTTCTCATCTCCAGAACCTTCCTGTTCTCATCTCCAGAACCTTCCTGTTCTCATCTCTAGAATCTTCCTGTTCCCATCTCCAGAACCCTCCAATATTTCGTCATCTCAAAACATTTTTCCTCCTCTTTAGATCCATAACCTTCTCTTTTTTCGAACCTAGGCTTGTCCCGTCCCCCAGCATCCTATATTATATATATATATATATATATATATATATCCCTGACTACCAGGTTAAAGCAAATAAAAAATACATGCAGGATTAATTCTTATTATTTAGTAGAACCATGACGTCGCCATTTTCTCTGACAGCAGAGGAACAGAAAATGTTGGAGAAGGATTACAAAAAACCTAAATCTGGCAAAAAATTTGGAACTTCACCCAAGAATTCGCCAAAACAAAGGTGATATTAAAAAAGCAACCAATAATATTGTGAACAAGGAGGATGGTAAATCGTATTTTATCAATTTTCTCTTCTAGGTCAGATCTTCACGAAAAAGGGACGATTGCATCCCGGAACAAGACGAGAATGTCCGAGGATATCGCAAAGTTCTTGTAAGTTTTCTGTTCTAAACATTTTATATATTCAATATTTACACTGATAAACCTTGTGATTGGCCGGCTAATTTTCCTGTTGATGGCTAATAGTTCTAGGCTGCTATGTTTCATCAATTTTTAAGACTGGGTTGCAACACCTTGGCCTTTGATTTTACCTTACTTTCTCTTTTATACTTTTTTTGTAGCCCTAGGTATATATATGTACATTCTTACACTTGTTTTTAGCTTTAGTTTCTACGGAGTTTCCCCATAAGGTTTTAAGTTTTCTATTTTAAGAAAGTTAAGATGTGGAGAGGATAAGGATGAATCTGAGAAGGATGAAGATATCCTGAAAAGGACAAGTGAAAATGTTCCTCTATCAACCATTATAAATAGCACAAGGTACACATTACAATACACATACAATAACTTAATAAGGTTTATTTGAAATACAAATAATTTAGAGTTTTTCCTTTTCCTCGTTTAAATGATTTGGACCACTAACTTGGTGACTTTTGACATTTTTCCATTATTTTGCTGAAAAAGAATCATTTTAATATTCAAAAATTTTGAAAAATATGTTTTTTTAAGTTTCATGGTTTGAAGGCGTGTTAAAAAAAACTGAATTGCTTTACAGATAGAAGATTCTGTTGTTTGTCTAGAAAGATGTTCCTGCTCCAGTACGGATTAAACGTGAAAGTTGGAGAGAAGACAAGATTAGACTCAACATTAACGGTATACATAGACAAGATCAGACTTAAAAATAACGGCATAAAGACTAGATTAGACTCAACATTAACGGTATAAAGACAAGATATGACTCAACATTAACGGTATATAGACAAGATTAGACTCAACATTAACGGTAAAGACTAGATTAGACTCAACATTAACGGTATAAAGACAAGATCAGACTTAAAAATAACGGCATAAAGACTAGATTAGACTCAACATTAACGGTCTATAGACAAGATTAGATGACTCAACATTAACGGTATATAGACAAGATTAGACTCAACATTAACGGTATACATAGACAAGACTAGACTCAACATTAACGGTATATATAGACAAGATTAGATGACTCAACATTAATGGTATATAGACAAGATTAGACTAAACATTGACGGTATAAAGACAAGATCAGACTGAAAAATAACGGTATATAGACAAGATTATATGACTCAACATTAACGGTATATAGACAAGATTAGACTCAACATTAACGGTATATAGACAAGATTAGACTAAACATTGACGGTATAAAGACAAGATCAGACTAAAAAATAACGGTATATAGACAAGATTAGATGACTCAACATTAACGGTATATAGACAAGATTAGACTCAACATTAACGGCATACACACGGTCGACTCTACACTGGGTAGTCCAGACTGGAAAGTACGACTGAATGCATATCAAGTTCAAGTTGTACCGGTTCGGTTCATGCCACTTTTAAAGTGGGGAGTAGACGCATTTAAAAATGCGTCCCCGTGCTTTACAAGGAATGCTGCAATATTGGGGTGGTTTTTAGGGTGCACCCAGCAAGCATTTATTCTCCGACAAACTGATGTCAAACATATACAGTCCAGAATTTTTTACCTGACATCGGCACATATGGTCGGTTAAAATGTTTCTTGGGAATTGTTAATAGTTTACCTGACCAGTTTTACTAATTGCTTGTTTCCCAGGAGTTTATGGAGGTATAGTTGGAGGCAAGGTTGTATAATAAGGTTGGTTACTCTCGATGCGCTCCAGCCTCCAATGTACGGAAAATGTCGCCTCCTAAGATAGATAGATAAAAACCTAATATGAAGTCATACTCGCCTCAATAATCAGTGACGTCATAGGTTTTTATCTATCTATCTTAGGAGACGACATTTTCCGTACATTGGAGCGCATCAAGAGTAACTCAGCTTATTTATGCAAATTTTAACATTTTATTATCAAGAAACCAAAGTTTAGAAAAGCTTCTAACCGTTGCTTAGTCCGTAACTTCAAACAGTAATATTTAATATTTTAAAAGAAAAAGAATGGAGGNTTCTGGCAATATACATTATTCAATATTCAGGGTGTCCAAATAATTATATGAATAGAGTGATGAATTAAAAACAAAATTAGTTTAAACTGGTTAAGTAAGGTCCAGAAATTTATTTGTTGCTCTTTATAACATTTAAATAAAAGTAGTATTTTAGTTACAAAACTTAAAGAGAGCCATAGAAAATACTTTTTAAAGCATTTTCTCATTTTAAAATATCAAATTTTATTTTTGTCAATTGTCTCCGTTACTTTGGAACATTTAAGTTTTAACAACATACTTTATCTGTTATCAAATTTGGTTTCATGAATTTGAACTGGTCAATATCCATATGTACATACATAATATTAACATAGTTCTTTATAAATAAAAATTACTAAAACTTTTAGATTAATAATTGTAATGCTGCAGTCTGCTTTATTCTAAATTTTCGTTGGTAAATCTAGAGAGTTCAATAAAAAATAACAATTTTTTAAAATTTCAAATTAATGTTTTCAATGTTATTTCCCCCCAAAATACAGTATTTAAAACATTGAAGGCAAGATTGTTTTCAGTTTTTACTGGACTCTCTGTAATACTTTAATAAATGACTGATTGCAGAAAATATCGTCTTCCTAGGCTGAAGAGTCCCGACTACGACGGGAGGAGGCAGAACTAAAACATTCTGAGCAATGTTTCGATTTATTTCTTCAGGAATTTTATTCAACGTTCAACTCTCTCTTGACAGGCCTATAACCGGGGGGGGGGGGTGAAAGGGGTCAGGTGCTCCCCCCCTGACGAATTTTAAAATAAGTTGCTTAGTATAATCTTCTCTTTAAAAATTGCGATATTAGCATTCAATTTTCAAAATTTGTTATAATTCTGTATACTGTATACTGAATAGTGTGCATATGCTATGTCTAAACAATTCTTTACAAAAGCTGTTGCCTCAGACCACTCAGACCACCAGATAAATAAACATTCTTTGAAAAATAATTGTCCTGAGGTAAGATTTTCAGGGTAAACTGGTTTGTTGTTCTTTCACCTAGTCGATATACATGCGTCATACATGCAATATAACAAATATGTTCCAGTATGTATCAAAAATTCAATTCTTTAAATTTTGCAGAAACATTGCCTCAGTTTCAATATTTTGTCCAGACAATTCAAGATCAATGAACTTGAGTGGCAATATCAAAATTATTAACATTTTCTGTCTTCCAATATTGTAAAATTTGAGCTAAAATCTTAATTGTGAAAATTTTCCTTGCATTCAATACAAAACATCAAATTCAGGGAAAATCGAATTTTCACTTTAACATTAAGTTCAATCTTAAATTACTAGTGTTGTTGACAAATTAGAAAAAACCTAGATGACATGAAATTCAAGCTACAATTATTTGTTTTAATAACAAAATTATAAATATTTTATAAATAAGTAGGGGGCCCTGCACCCCTACAACCCCCCGCCTCGTTCATTACGTTTCATTCGGTGATCCTGGGCCCATTACAACATCCAAAGTTGCACCCTCTTGGGAAAATCTTGGTTACAGGACTGTTCTTGACCATTCAGAATGCCATAAAGGATACACAACACTACCAGCTAAACATTTACCGGAGTGGAGGAGAATTTAATTTCTCCAGCTTTTTCAAGAAAAACGAGAAAATCTAGTTATTGCATCTTAGAAAATGGTTTAGGAACGGCGTTGTGAATGGTTTATGAGGTTTTAAATCCCGTCGATTGGATATTTAATTTACTACAGGATAACCAGAACACACTCTGGTATAGGAAGACGACTATTAGAATCAAATGGTAACTTTAAATGTTCAATTAGCATGAAACACAGAAATTGTGTAGTGTAAACAGGCCCATTTCATTAAATCAGTGATTTAATAAGTGTCTTGTAAAATTACTTGCTTTGTAAAAACATCAAATACAAGTATTGCTATAATGTCGTCTTCCTATTCCATTTTTGTCTGGTTATCACTGTTTTAATATATTTACGAATAAACATGAACAAATGAAAATGAAAGAATAAAATCAGGAGAATGACAGAAATAATTGTTTCAAGAATCATACATGTTAAAGTAGATAGAAGACTAAATGTCACAAATAAATTCAAATACCAAAGACGACTTTTAAGTCGTCTTCTTATTGTCATGTTTCGTGGGACACCCTGTATGTTGCCTGACATATCGTTAATAAGTTTGTAATTTGTAATCATAACACGATGTTCATAAAAAGAAACCAGTTCTAAAGTGTACTGCATTTTGGGGGCAATATCAAAATAATCAAAACAATAAAACTAATAAAATTGACAAGAAACATGTCCATCCATCCATAGATCCAAAAAAGCGAAAAATCGCGAAACAAGCTTTATCGTAAAATAAGATTCAAAATTTGTCATCCACAAAAAAAGCTCCGAGACAACTGTCGGGGAAAAAACTGTATTTTTCTTTCGTTCTTGGTTACCTCTGCAGTTGTACGCCTGTTTCTTTCTTTGCCAAAGCATTTTTATATTTTGGTAAATATAAATACAGACAGAATCCCAAAATATAAATATAAATACAGACAGAATCCCAAAATATAAATATAAATACAGACAGAATCCCAAAATCTATGAACCCAATAGATAGTGAATTAAACTGATCCTAAGGACAGCTTAATTCTATTCCGATAAATAAAAACGTGTTTAAAATGTCTTTTTTTCTAGTTTTCCCCCTTAAAATTTCAATTATGTGTTTTACTAAGATTGAAGAATCCAATAAATTATGACTTTATATCTGGGTTTAATGATAACAATTTGATTAATAGATCGGACCATGAGTCAAGGATAACTGAGGAGAAGGATCAGGAGATAAAAAGTGTTCAAGAGAAGATTACCCAACTTAAAGGAGATATATACAATCTCAAGGTTAGATTACCCAACTTAAAGGAGATATATAGAATCTCAAGGTTAGATTACCCAACTTATAGCAGATATAAAGAATCTTAAGGTTAGATTACCCAAATTAAAGGAGATATATACAATGTTAAGGTTATATTACCCAACTTAAAGGAGACATATAGAATCTCAAGGTTAGATTACCCACCTTAAAGGATATATATTCAATCTTAAGGTTAGATTACCCAACTTAAAGGAGATAAATACAATCACAAGGATACATTACCCAACTTAAAGGAGACATATATAATCTCAAGGTTAGATTACCCACCTTAATGGAGATATATAAAATCTCAAGGCTAGATTACCCAACTTAAAGGAGATATATACAATCTCAAGGTTAGATTAAACAACTTAAAGGAGATATGTACAATCTCAAGGTTAGATTACCCAACTTACAGGAGATATAAACATTCTCAAGGTTAGATTACCCACCTTAAAAGAGAGATATACAATCTCAAGGTTAGATTACCAACCTTAAAGGAGATATATGCAATCTTAAGGTTAGATTACCCAAGTTAAAGGAGATATATACAATAGATTACCCAACTTACAGGAGATATATAGAATCTTAAGGTTAGATTACCCAACTTAAAGGAGACATATAGAATCTTAAGGTTAGATTAAACAACTTAAAGGAGATATATGCAATCTTAAGGTTAGATTACCCAATTTAAAGGAGACATATAGAATCTCAAGGTCAGATTACCCAACTTAAAGGAGATAAATACAATCTCAAGGTTAGATTACCCAACTTAAAGGAGATAAATACAATCTCAAAGTCAGATTACCCAACTTAAAGGAGATAAATACAATCTCAAGGTTAGATTACCCAACTTAAAGGAGATATATACAATTTCAAGGTTAGATTACCCAACTTAAAGGAGATATATACAATCTCAAGGTTAGATTACTCAACTTACAGGAGATATAAACAATCTTAAGGTTAGATTACCCAATTTAAAGGAGACATATAGAATCTCAAGGTTAGACTACCCAACTTAAAGGAGACAAATAGAATCTCAAGGTTAGATTAAACAACTTAAAGGAGATATATGCAATCTTAAGGTTAGATTACCCAACTTAAAGGAGACATATAGAATCTCAAGGATAGATTACCCAACTTAAAAGAGATATATACAATCTTAAGGTGAGATTACCCACCTTAAAAGAGATATATACAATCTTAAGGTTAGATTACCCAACTTAAAAGAGATATATACAATCTCAAGGTTAGATTACCCACCTTAAAAGAGATATATACAATCTTAAGGTTAGATTACCAAAATTAAAAGAGATAAATACAATCTCAAGGTTAGATTACCCAACTTAAAAGAGATACATACAATCTCAAGGTTAGATTACCCAACTTAAAGGAGATATATAGAATCTCAAGGTTAGATTACCCAACTTAAAGGAGATTTAAGGTTTGATTACCCAACTTAAAGGAGATATATACAATCTCATGATTAGATTACACAACTTAAAAGAGATACATACAATCTCAAGGTTAGATTACCAAACTTAAAAGAGATATATGATATACATTATACAATGATTTTTTATTTCAGGATAGCTTCAGAAAATATTCTTTGTATGGAAAGTTTTTATCAGAAATATCTCCTGAGGAGTGGAACCATGAACAGGTATTATCTATCTATCATTTAGTCACTTAAAATGATTAACTTTTTTTCAGGAAATTTTATCCGGTAGATCCAGGAAATCAGTTCCATCCCATCTAAAGGTATTTAATCTTCCCTAGTTTCAACTTTATCTAATTTATCTAATTTTTAGAATATTCTCAGCCTGGAATCCAACGAGTTCATAGAGGGAGACAATTTTCTATATTTCAAGGTATTTTTTTAGAAAAATATTTTTAAAAAGTGATAATTTTATTAATCGTTTATCTAACTTGTTTAATTTTGCTTTTATGTAGAATCTTTTTGTGTTAAATCCGTTTCTTT